CCACACGTATCAAAATTCAGTTCTCCTGTGCTGCTTCAAAGAAAAATTCTGACCCAATAAGTGAAGCTGTGTCGGACCTAAAGTGGGCCTCAGTTTTAAATTAAACCTTAAAACGTTGCTAATGCCCTCCACATTTGAGTCCACTAGAAAATTCAGTAACAAACTGATAATGCAACAGTCTACGTTGACCTGCACAAAATTAAAATCTAACATCAATATCTATACTAAATGAAAATGAGTAAGTCTGATGCAATCCATAGTGAAGTCTTAAGAAGAAATCAAGACTTCCAAATCAACCAATGCAATCAAAGGAACAGAGCAAGAGATACAGCAAGGACATGTTTCTCTGAATATCAAACCTGCAAAAAAGCATGACCCTACACTGCTTTGCAACTAAGTCCACCTGTATCCTGAATGAGAGAAACCTATACTAAATATACCATTACCTCTCTACCATTAGCAAAAAAGAATATACAAAGCAGCTTGTATTGCAGTTCTCTGAGAGGCTTCTATCATGTCATCTGAAGATACTAAATGACTAGAACCAAAATATAACAGCACTTGATTTTATGTTCTCAGTTACTGTGTTGACAAAACCCTGCACTGATTAACAATGTTTTGTTAACTCTGCAGTTACAGATGTATCTTAAAATTTTTCAAAATCCGAATTTAATACCATCTAATAATTCACTGATTTCAGAAATAGGAACAGTATAACTGGCAGCTGCTGTTACTATATCAGTATATAGTACTGGCAGGCAATTTAGACAGAAAAATAAATGTTTGAATGCATGAGAAACCAGATACTAAAGATACCATATAGCTAGTTTACTATTTACATTTGGTTAATATTAACCAAGTTTAAATATAAGCTTATATCTTTTAAAGTTCTCAATTCCTTGTACATACTTAAATGAGAAGCAATCCCAGGCCTACCCAAAGAAAAATTATTTTAGTGATAAGAATGTTCCTGCTTACACTGCTGGTTTCTTTAACGCAACATTTTAGGCAAGAGTATGAATTTCTGGTAGCTGCATTTCCTACAATACCCATAATTTATCTGAAGTGTCCATATATTAAGGCATATATTTGATAGCACAGACAATAAGTGCTCCAGGTATTACTGCCCTAAGCAATTAAGTTTACTGGAAGAAAATATTTCACCAACCTGTAAACATTTAAAATCTCAACCTCAACTTTTTGACACTAACAATAAGTCCAAAAAGAACAATTTTAAAGGCCAATAAGAGCTGGAATAGCCAAATTCCTTTGGTGTTTCAGGTTTTTTAAAAGGAAATGCCAACAATTAGTGTATTAAAACAGTACAATAATATTTTAAATTTATAATGATATAGGCCTCAATTTTGCAAATCAGTAAGGGCTATACACATGCAGCAAGGCTGCTCTGACATTGGAGCAGACTCGATTAATCTAGTCTGCTGCAACAACGGAGGAAAGGCAGCAAGAGGGCACAGCAGCCCCCCTGGCTCTCCAGGGACCTAGCAGACCTCCTGAGGCTAAAAAGAAAGGCCTACAAAGGGTGGAGGATGGGAGTCACCTCCAAGGAGGATTATTCTGCACTGGTCCGGTCTTGTAGGGAGCAGACAAGGAAAGCCAAGGCTGCAACTGAACTCCAGCTAGCTTTGAGCATCAAGGACAATAAGAAGTCCTTTTTCAGATATGTGGGGAGCCGGAGGAAAAGCA